ATATATATCTATATAATAAATATTCATAAAATTAAATATTAAAATTGCATGTGTGTAGCACCCGAAACATTGGAATTTACAAATCTAGCATGCTCTTTCATCCATATTTACATGGTGTAATTATGAACAGGATTTAACAATGGATTTAATTTAAGTCCTGGCAAATATTAAAAGATTAAAATTAAATTCAGTTCTATTAAATCAAATTTTCTCGAATTTCATCCCTGTTTTTTTTTCTTGTTCTTCGTTTGTTTCACGGCGTAAATCCAAATTTACTAAATCCTATTGCAAGACGGATTCACTCCTTCGCTGCTCTCTGTCTATCAAGTCCGACACCGGATTATACGAATTTATCTGATTTGCTAAATCCTATTTAACATTAATCTTGGTTGCGGCGAAACTCCGTCATAAAATTTTCACTCAAATATAAAAATTCATCATAAAGCCCCCTCCAATATCTTTTAATTTTTGAAAAATTCTCATTGGTTAGATCGTAGCACGCATAAATTTTAATACATCGATTTGGTAGTTCGAAGAACATCACATGTGTGCTATATTTTGTAAATAGTAATATTCCGTGAACTACATATGTGATTATCTCTGCGTGTAAATATGAAAGTTTAGGTTTAAGAAATTTAAATACGTGAGAATTATGTGCAAAGCATGCCAATACATCTTTTAAATGCAAAGTGACACATCTAACACACAAATCTTATATTTTTATTGAGCCCCACCGGTTGACAAGATTACGAAGAGTTGTTTAAGATGGTTTGGTCATCGACCATCTGATCTGATGACCCAGTTAGGAGAGTGGATGATTAGAATGGACTTATGCTTAGAGTGTTACACAAAGCTTTTTATCCTTGTATTGTCCTCATTTATTCTTTCTCATTCTTCTTTTGCTAATACTAATTACTCAAATATATAGTTTATTTATGGATATTCGTATAACAAGGCCCTGATGTACAATATAATTTATCTAAGTAGATAGTGGATCACTGAAATATTCTTGAACGGTGTCGAGACCTTCGTGGCAGCTGCAACTCATCTGCTTACTTATCAATCCAATGATAGGTTTCAGCCGCTATGTTCGAAACACAAAAATCAAGCACGCTTAACACCTCATGAAGTATATATGATTTATATCATTAGAATTTTAACCTGATTACTGGTTTGGATTTCCCATGACAAGGTTGAACCCACAATATTCAGCTATGCTTCTTCGACGAGTTATGATCATCCACCAAAATATGACTCAAGTAAATTTGAATAAATGGACTTCAATGGGACAAGACAACATTATTCGAGTCAAGTGGAAGAAGAGCCACCAAACCATGAAGCTCGGACCTTTTATGAAATAGTGAATGAGGCTCAAAGGCCACTGTAGGAGGTTTGAACATCATAATCTAAATAATGTGTAGCACTTAAAATGTTAAAAATTAAAACAGAGTTTAATATGTCATGGGAGCACTTCAATCAGTTTGCAGGATTATTGAATGAGACAAGTTCAGAGAAAATTTTAGTTCCAAAAGACTTATATAGGACAAAAAAACTGGTCTTCAAGTCGAGGTTGAAAAAAGAGAAGAAGGTTTGCTGTGTAAACAGATGTATGTTATTTTACAAGTTAGGTGCAATAGAGACTCAGTGTAGATTTAGTCACTCATATATTCAAACCTCATGATAAAAATATTAAGAGACAGAAGAAAGTTTGATACAAGCGTTTTTTCTATATACCACTTACTCCGTGTTTTCAAAGATTATTTGTTTCTATGCATACCACTCCACATATGACGTGGTATCCACCACTACCTTTAGAGCGTCATCACCTGATTGTCATTATCACCTCCACCAACGTTGTATCACCAATGTATCGTAACCATCACCATTGCTTAGTTATTATAGTCTTTGCCTAGCCCCGCTACCACTGTCATTGTCAGATTACTGCCAACAACGTAAACCTCAAATCTCTGTCATTTGACCCCCATCATTAGACCTACCACATTGCAGCTCAATCATTACTTTTGCTC